AATATATATATATATATATATATATATATATATAAACTAGATACCACACACTTAATTAATTTGATATATTATAGCCGTGAAACGAAAAAAAAAGTGATCTTTAGTGTAATTGCTTGATGGAGAAGGTTTTGGTGATATACTCGCAATCTTACCCGCTCTATAAAGATAGATAGTAAATATTATGCGTGAAATTTCAGCTAATAGACAATATAACGAGTAAAGCATGAATGATTCATAACAGTAATTCTTGTCTGATAAAAAAATTCTTAACGCGTTCTAATGAAAGTCCGTTGTTGGTGCTCCAATTAAAAGTTATTCCACTTATATCATTTCAAAATTAAATAAGTGAGAATTCAAATTTCTAGTGTTCCTTTGTGTGGCCTTTAATATAGACATAATCAACAAAAAAAACCACAAAATATTGTACGGTTTTGTTTTCTATTTAAAAACACAGAATAATTTTGGTGGGCCTATCTGAAAACCACTTAAAAGTCTTGATGCCAATTGTCAAGTGAAAAAATTATCCCAAGTGGACCTAATTAGCCAACTTTAGGGGGAAAAGCAAGCTGTACCAATGTACTAGAGGGGAAGATTATAATCAAAAAATGGAAAATGGAAAAAGACCATGCAACTAAACGCCTTATATTAAATTTCTTAATTACGTTAAATAATTTCATTTGGAACCCTAGTTAATTACCATTATAACTTTTAAATTTTTTGGGCCAAGTTTGAGTTCCTTTTTAGCGGAATAGAAGATAATGCTAGAACCTAGAAGAAGATTAAATCTTTGAAGAATTAACCTCCATGTAATCGTTTCAAAAAATAATATATGTAGTAAATGGTAAGTCTGATCGATTCTGATTGATTAGTTGCGTAAAGATAATTGGCAGACAAGAAATTGAGGCATTGATGATTTGATAGAACGTATATTTCCTTGTTACCTATTGTGGTGAGTAGTTATAAAATATATGGTGAAGAGAAAGAAGAATTAATTGTACGTAGGATCTTGGTTATAATATTCACTCGTGATTTTGAAGCAATGACAATTTTTCGGTCACCTTAAATAAAAGCATGAAAAGAAAAAAGAGGTTGGGTAAGACATTTTTACTTTTTGTTTTAGTTTTTTATTTGATGTTTGATATCTGTATTAAAGTGTTGAGTAATTGAATTCTAATTGAGGGAGACATTTTCCAAGAGTATATATTATTTTTAAAATTTGAATTTAAAATATCTAATTAAGAAAAAAATATCTACTATACCACATTCTTAATTCGATGATAAATCAAAAAAGATAAAAGAAGAAAAGGAAATAGTAGAAAAAGGAAAACCAAATGAGAAAAAATAGGGAATGATTCTCTTCTTTTTATTGAAAAAAAAAAACATTAGGTCCTACAACCCACGTGTGGTGATTGAAAAATACCTTCAAAGCTTCTAGGGCAATGCTGAATACCCCACACAGTACTCTTTAGATCTCCCAATATTTTTGACAAACTTTAAATTTATTTTATAGTATCATGTTAAAATTCATAGTACTATTATCATTATTCTCTTTTACAAATTTAATCTTACATCCCTTTTAATGAAGTGTTAATTAAGCCCGACATTCTGAACAAAATTAATTTAAATAAATATAAATTATTAGTTGTAGGGATTGCGAAACCCATAAAAATACGGATACTATTTGCGGGAGAGAG